AAACAATAATTTAAAAGAAATGAAAAATCGAAATACCACGAGAAAATGATTTCCACACCCTTTGCTGACATCGACGAAATGCAATCGAAATTTTTTCAATTTTCATTTCATATTTTCATTTTCCAAGTGAAAATAATGGTCGCTAAAAATAAGTTCCATACCGAATCGCCTTTCGAAAATTATTAATTTTCGTAAAATATTAGAACAATAAGTTTCCATTTTAATTTTCTTCATTTTTATTTATTTCAATTTTTTTCTTATATTGGAACTAATTGAAAACTTTAGAAAGCGAAATAGTTTTTGAAACGATCATATGATTTTTTTTTATTGGTCTAATGTCGTTCATTTGTTTAGCTGGAAGCTGTTTTATTATCGTTTATCGTTTACGTTATTGTCAGCGATAAAATAGAAAAAATAAACGAAATATCGGAGATATATGAAATTTTTGTACTTTTACATGAAATTTCAAACAAAGAACTATTAAAATTGAAATGATATATTAAAATCTTATTTTTATTGAAGGCGATGATAAATTTGGCACGTTTTGTTTGTTTTTTATTATTGATTTTAATGCCTAACGGCTGTTGAAAATATTGTATAATAAATATTAACGAACACTAGAGAAGAGAAGATACATATATGTAGACATATATCATAAATCTCTTGTAGATTATTTTTAAAAATATTAACGATAATCTTTGTGGTAAGCCAAATACGAGCATACGAGTAAGAGCATTAATGTCAAGACAAAAAATAGCTAAAATAATAATGATTGTAAAATCTAATACTGGAAGATTTTGTGGAAGGTTTACTACAGAACAAATTTTTTTTATCACATCATTTGCAAAGATGCTGTTGTATTTCTTTTTGTTTTGTGGTATTTTTACTGCTATTAATGTAAGTATGCTTGCCTTGGTAGATATGAATATCAGTTGATTACAAGTTCCTTAAGATGCTCAGACAATAAATCCTAATAATCCAATAGCTAATATAGCATATACTATGCCTAAAGCTCCGAAAGTCTCTTATTTTTCCTGATTCTTGTCTAATAATAAGAGAAATTATTCCAAATCCCGGGAGAATGAAAATATAATTTTTTGGATGTTCAAAAAATTTATTTTTATTGCAATTGTAGTTTATGTATGTTTTCTTTCGCAAAAATAATTGTAACCAATCTAATAAACCTAGCAAAAAGCACAATCCGTTAAGAAACTAAGTTCGCATATATCTTTTAGCCTATATCTCTTATTATTGAAACTGTAATAAGACTCCGTCAGGAATAGATATTATCATATGCTTTTTATTATCGCACTTAAAAACGTCATTATTAAATCAGAAATCAACACCAGAAGAAATATCCTAAGTAGATATGTTCAACTTATACCATATAAGAATAATATCGACCTATTAACTAACTGTGAGTCAGTACTATAAAAAAAATTTAAATAAAGAAAAAGAAAAAAGTATTTATCTTAAGATAAACGACAAGAAAACAGAATTACTCATAGTAATATAGGAAAAACACACTAGTGATAGCTTTAGTAAAATTCAGCTTTGTTTTTGTCAAATGATAATATATATCTGAGATTAAAAATACACAACAACAATGCCAACAATGACGTTGACAAGAAATTCGCTTTAAGGCTAATCCTTTTAAAAAATCCTACGATGTATCTAAGAAATTAATAGGCCTTTGAAGGAAAATTACTGAGAAGAATAAATGGTCAGCAATTTACTCAGAAGAGTAAACGAAAGTAATAATAAGTTAAAAAATTTAACTTCAATAAAAATCGAAAAACTAAGCTCGAAAAAATATAGCATAAAATGCTATATACACCATCAGGCCCGCTTAAAACTGTTTAGTGTAATTTTTTTATTGAAAGAATGTTGAAGAATGTGCAGTTGCGAACAGATGCCTCTGATCATCATGAAATATGCTCGCCCAGTGTTATTTAGATTGTAGCAGATGGAGATCACAGATATGATGTGTAGATTGTTCCGACAATGATGCAGAAGACAGACATAAATATAAGAAACTGGAGAGCGGTTAAACTTAGGATTAGTGAAGGCAAATCCTAATCCAAATATCAAGTTCTATTAATTGATTTATTTTATTTCAATGTCGTCATTTTCCATATTTCTTTTAATTTCTTCATTAAAAAATGTTTAAGACCATTCCTATTTGATCCGACTCCTACAATAAGTATTTATTCAGTTGTTTATCATTTATGTCTCAGGTATAAAGTAAATATTTTATTCGTTGAAATATATAATATCTGTTTTGTGATATTTATTTTTATGTCACGTTGACAACAGATTTGATTTGTTTATTTATTATTTTGTAGAATTCACTTTTAAAACGTAATAACAACTGCCTGTTTTCATTTGTTTATATTTATAATGAAATTTTAGAACCTTGAAAAAATTATTACAGATAAATTGCTTTTCAAATGAATCCCTTTTCACATAACTCATATATAACATTCAACTTAAGAGTATAAATCTTGACTATAATCTTCTTGGCGTGTAGAATGGCACAAAAAGTTATACTTAACCTTATATCTGAGGGGGAAAAGTACTTTAATTTTTCTATTAGGGTTTATATTAGCCCATTTTATTTAACATTGAGAAATTCTACTACTGGAAGACGGGCACACAACACAATTATCCATATAGAAAACTTTAATTTCTTTATCTTGTACCAAGAGACGTACTACCTGAAAATTTAAAAGCAGAACTTTTTATATAGAACATTGATTTATTTATCTCGTGCCAAGAGATGTTGTTATTACAAATTTTTTTTTATCTTAATAGAGAACAAATGGTAACAACAGCAATAATTTTTTTAGTATTACTACAGATATGTTAAAAATTATACAATTTAATAACTTAATGTTTGCAGAAATTGTTATCAGTTATTTCTGCAACTTTCTGAAGCTCTTAGTTCGCTGAAAGTTTGGTTCATTGTCCTGCTACTCTCCTTCTCAAGCTTTTTTTGATTTACTCGAATTTTTTATTATTTGTGGGTTCTATTCTATTTTTGTTTTCGGATATAGACCTTATCTTACCAAAACAGGAAAACGAAACTAACGGTTACTGTCGTCAGTGGTTACTAACTTTCAAGACATTCGAACTGTTTAACACCTACCACACTACATATACTTAATAATTGATGATTGTTATTGACATAGATATGTAGGTCTGGTGTTAATTTTTCGACTCATTTTGGCACAATCATATTCGACTGAAATTAAATGAGCTGATATAGTAGAGAGGTGATCGAGATCAAGTCATCTGTATATAAACTCTTAACCGTCTCTAATTAACATTAGTGAAAAAGCATCCCTGTCTTCCAATGCTGTTGGGTGAAAGTGTTTTACTTAGGGTGCTGTTGTGCAAAACTCAGCACAAGGCGTTTTCGTATATGTTTTTTATAATATTAACTATTTTTTAATGAGATACCTGTTGCTTTAAAGCCTTTCCATATACTCATTCCTGTATATTAAAATTTCTTTCTATGTTGCCTTAAGTTATTAATGGGAATTGATAATGTTATATATCGAAGAACAAGTTTAACAAACTGCGTATATAGTTTCCTTTATTAAATTTGTTTGTAACATATAATACTTGAAATTTATTATTCGAAAGTGCATAATAAAAAATAAAAGAATTAATATTAAAACAACAAAATGCATTCGTATGGGAAAAACTCACGGCTGAATCTAAACATTTGTTGCACATTTGTTTCCGCTTTAAATTGATCCCTCCACAAAATCCCAAGAAATCGTAAAATCAATTTTAAGAATAGAAATCAATATGGCCACGTGAAGAGACCGAATTTT